TAATAGGGTTGACGGAACCAAGGTCAAACTTACGTAACGCCATACGAATACGAAAACCGAATGCAGATGAAACCTCTCAAATGAAACCTACTAACAATGAAATGTTAAGGAGGTAAATCATACACCAGACGATTCCTGTTCACACTAGATGACGATTAGAGTCAGAAGGTCGACCGCGAGTGTTTAAGCGACAGACAGATTAATGAGTCATGTTAAAATCTAGTTACTACGAGTAGTAATCACAGAAAAAGATTTGTTTTAAGGTGATTGTGTTTACACCCACAGTTTGGTTTAAAGAAAGGGAGGGTGTAATGGTTTTGTTACAAATCACTTAGTTATTTATGATGTGTTCAATACAAGACACCGTCAGGTGTGCCTCTATTATCCTGATTTAATAAATCATACATTATGACCGTATACAGAAAGCGCGGAGGAGACGTACATGGCGGAGCACCGCAATAAAGGACACGTTCTGTCACTCCCGTGATTACTATTGATTTATACTGCGTTGATCCGCACTATATAACTGAACATTACCACCTAGCACTCGTAGCAGCACCCCTGCTAATAATGAAAAAAAGCTTTTTGGGACAACCTTTGGGGATTATGATTATGGACATTGAGTTAATGACTAATAAACACAAGGAAGAACCCTGATATGCTGTTTTATTACTGATTTGCTCCAAAATTTTGGCCGGGCCTACAGCTTTTCTTGGCGGGGCTGCAGCTTTTTAGGAGAGTATAGACTCTGCAGGCCTGCCAGCTTTTCTGCGTTGTAGTGGGCAAGCACATGATACTACTGATTACTTAGGATTATTGCAACGGGATGGTTTAGATACTGACAGACTTGTAAACGGACGCATTCAAATACCCGCGCGTTCTGGCGTAGACGGGGTATCCAAAACGATCTTAGGGCAGGGCATGAAACTCCTCAATGCATGATTCGCACACAAGAACAAAACCTCGCGTCGATTTCGAACGCATTCAACGATTTGATCGATTTGAAGGACTCTAGCAAATCGACTTGCGGGCAGACCCAGTGCGTTTTATTGCCGCATAACAATAAGTTCATAGTGTCGCAGGGGTTATCGTTGTGGAGTTGAGGCACGAACCAGTTGACACCTGACACTCACGTAATCAAAGTGTTAATGAATTCGTTCACTTTTTCTCTAACGCAGAAAGTTGGACTATTTTTATTCAGCTTAGAATATCTAGAAGCAATGTAAACTGGTATCAAGTTCTATAGGTCACTTGTAACATTACGGATGGGGCAGCCAGCATAATCATTGATCGATTCATAGAGTACGTGGACTGGGAGGAGGAAAACGAAGTAAAACCTTTCCCACACGCTCTCCCCGACATTCCATAGAGCTTGGAGATATATATCTGACAACTCTAAGTTACAATGTATGTGTTAATGACTCCACATCGGCTTGTTTTATTGTATACCTATTTTGTTGACATACTGCTAGTAAATAAGCGGACCACAACTTTTTGTGCAGGACACCAACTTCCTGCAAGTTGGTGGTCCTGCTGGTCCCACTAGATTTTCAGCAAATTTCGTAACCCTGCGTGTTTATCAATCTGACGTAGTCAATGCAGCTTGTAGAATCGCATACTGCCGGTCTGTCCGTCGCGTCCGTTCGTCCGTCCGTCAACCAGTTTGGAGCCACAAATCTTAATCATCCCGCTCGACGTACGGTCACGACATTACCGGGAACGTGGGGGGGTAATCTGAAAAACGAGTTGGATGTCGAAGCGGGGGTCAAAGTCAGAGTGTAAAAGAAGGGGGAACATTCCCTCCTTAAGACTTAAGGTATAGGGAGGAAATGCAGAATTGCGCCACAAAATCTGAAACGGCCTCGACCTTAGGCTCGTGATAGTCGGTGGTATTAGCATCATGGTTAGGAAAAAGCATCACTGTGCGAAATTGGAGGTCAAAGGTCAATGGGCCACAGTGGCAGATTTTAGACATTTTCTGAGGACATGGTCTGCGGAGCGATTTTGAAAAACTTTTTTGTTTCAGCAGTGACTAGCATTGTTTGATAGCTTCTATTGAAAGGACCATGAAATGTACTTTCTGCTGACATGCGAAGAGTAAGTGTCGGATAACCGTTTGACCCTCAAGAGGCGGGTTAAACATGGATTTGTTTACTGTTAGAAAGAATTTGACTGCCGGGTTTGCTAGTAGAATCTATACATGCCTGGATGTATGATAATGAGGCTACAATGTCACAGTGAAATTTCAAAAGCTAAATTTGGTTGAAGAAGGTTTATGCTCATTAAATCGTATAATTTCTATGGCATTCTGTACTGTCAGTGTGTTACGTGTAACGTATGCCACTGCCAGTGCATGTGGTGGTGGTACTGTGTAGTTTTTGCCTGCATTAATTGGTTACAGGTGGCAGCTCTCTATTTCGGCCTGTAGGCTTGCGTAGGTAAATGGATGAGTGCTTACCTATTCTGTCTTGCAAATAGTTGTTGCTACTACGTACGATGGGAGCTTCCATCTTTAATCTGAAGACACTTAAACGTACGCGCATCTCGTGGCAACTTTCATAACAATCCCAACGAACATTCCTTTGAGAAGGTTCCTGATACCATCCCTGTGCCTTCCACTGTTTCGGCGTGTATGTGACATTTGGGACTAACACTAACAGGGTTTACTAGAATCCCACCACTCCACCACAGAGTCACCGCAGTAGACGTTAGATGAGCGCTGTCGCTCCGCGGCACTTGTGTTGTTTACATGTTTTTTGATTTTCTTATTTGTATACTTGCATTGTTTCATTCAATGGTTATACCAACAGTACAAGCCAGCTGATTGGTCACTATGGTTAGCCCCTATCCTCTTGCATACCTGATTACACATGTTCTAACCTGTTTCTCTCCTATAGGGAAAATGACACACTCCTGCATGTGTGACATACTTTGTGTATCCATCGCATGTTTTCTTAGTATGCTATTCAGTACACGTTTAGAGCGAATCTAATGTGTAGTAGTAGTAGCACACATCCACTTTATTTATCAAAAATGAACTAGAGAGACTTATATAAATTTAGTCATCTAAAAACAATATTTAGTAAGTGTTCAAGAATGTATTTTTCATTGAGAATCACTGTGCCTTCTTAAAGCCAAGTCTTACATGTATACTATTTACGAAGTGGTCCTGACCCTTACTGTTGCATTTTCAGGAACTTAATAGCAACTTTTTAATTGAGAGGTTGGGGTTAGAATTGAACTTTTTTTTACTAGGCAACAATTATTTGCTGCCAGAGAAAAAAGCAGGCAGCAAACTAACTCGCCCAGGTAGAAACTTGAGAAAACCATCTAGTAGTTTCACTCCCTCCAGCCCCAACAATTATTTCTTATTGCCTCTGTTCGTCATAAGGAAGCCGGTTTGGACTCCTATCCCCGTTTCCCTTCATTTTTTCACTCTAAATATAGGCAAGTAGGCTTTGCCCAAGTTGCACGTGAAATGAGGAGCGGGCCACAGGCACTTGAAGCGTTTCAATAAAATATAATGCTAACTAAATACGAAATCTATTTACAGTATTTACTACCAAATTCTTAATGTTTCTATACTATCTTTCACCTATTATTGCCGACAGTTTTCTGTAAATTCCATCCAAATCCTATGTGCAACAAACACTGACTGCCGCCATTCCTCACGCGGCTGCAGTGTGCACACGGACACATATATATATAGCAGGTAGGAAAGCGGGATCCCTAAATTCGCTCGACGCTCGCTTGATTTCACACTTTCACAGCACGAATACACATCCAACATCTTCCATCTTTGTTTCTATGTCAAGAACAGTGTTCACTTGTTATAAAAACATACTGTCTCTGTTCGTAACCGAGCTGTGTCACGCGAAATCACACAAAGAATGACGAAATTCTCACGTTCACGAACCTTGCCCAGTAATGTAAATGGCTGTCAGAATCAGGAAACGCCTACCGGCGCTCTTTGTGACCTCATTCTTGCGCCGCAACGCTGCAACGTTTTTGCAACGTTCCAATGACGAGGCTCGTACGGGAGTTGGAAAGCAGTGCGCCGCCTGCGCGCCGCCTATAGCTCATAGACTGGCACTCGCTCCCACCTCTCGGCTTAGCTTAGTCACTCGATGGGTAATCGAGGTGGGAGCGAGTCCCAGTCTATATAGCCCTGTACTTGCAGCCATTTAGATTACTGGGCAAGGTTCGCGTACGCGAGAATTTTGTCAGTCTTTGTGTGATTTCGCGTGACACAGCTCGGTTACGAACAGAGACAGTATGCTTTTATAACAAGTGAACACTGTTCTTGACATAGAAACAAAGATGGCAGCTGTTGGATGTGTATTCGTGCTGTAAAAGTGTGAAATCAAGCGAGCGTCGAGCGAATTTTGCGATCCTGCTTTCCTACCTGCTATATATATATATATATAAGTGTAAGCGTGCAACACTGGAGCCGCGAGAGCAATGGCCTCAAGCAGCGTATATGGTTGCACGTAGGATTTGGACGGAATTTACAGGAAACTGTCGGCAATAATAGGTGAAAGAGAGTATAGAAACATTGAATTTGGTAGTAAATAGATTTCGTATTTAGTTAGCATTATATTTTATTGAAACGCTTCAAGTGCCTGTGGTGCGGGCGGTAGTGTAGAACCAGCACGAATTAATAAACCAACCCTGAAGAACTGGCCATTGTTTTCAATAGAAAAATTTTGCATGTAACTTTGGTGTTTTTACTTTAGTCTTTTATTATGAATTTCTTGGCAGCAAGCAGGCAGCAAACTGACCCTTGTAGGCAGCAAAACTGTTGCTTGCTGCCCTTAATTTCGAACCTTTCAACTAATTTTAACATTAAAAGATTAAAAGACAGTAAAAAGACCACGAAAATTGCTGTATTTTATTATACGACAATATCATGTGCGTTTTATGTAGTTTTACTTAAAAGTTAAAATGAATTAGTTTTAGAATCTGAGTTCTTCTAATTTGTGTTATTTTGTTTGTTCTAGGTGATGCTGTAAAACCTTACAAAATGCCAAAGGCAGCTTCCAAGAAACCTTTGAGAATAAACTACCCTCCAGGATGCAAGGAAGTGGAGGAAAACATGAGTACTGATGAGCTGATACGCCGCTTAAAGGTAAACATAAACACGCTGCAATGCTATTTTTGGCATCACACATTGCTATCGTAATGTCTATCACTAGAGGTCACCAGTCCTAAAAACATGGATCGACTGCCGGTACCTGACGTGCGTCGCGATGTCGTTATTACAGCAATGTGCACGTGCGTTCCAAGACATGGACCAGACGGACAACAGCGAGTATTCGGACCTTGCGGTGCACCTGGCGGGTGACGCGTTCCTGGAACATGACAACAAGGATGTTCGTCTGCTCGTCGGCTGCTGCATCGCCGACGTGTTCCGCGTGTTCGCGCCCGAGGCACCCTACAAAGAATCCGGACAGCTAAAGGTGAGCTGCTGAGCACTGTTAGATTTTGCAAAAATGCTTTTTATAGTAAATGTGGACAATGCCTAAACGTTTGGTGTAATTATAGTCATTTGTACGATGTTTTAGCGAAGCGTGTCTTTTTCTTGCAAATGCTGGCAGTTGTTCTCTGCCAAGTCCATCTGCTGTCGATTTCAGACCCTAATCCTGACCCTCAAAACAGCGTAGAAACGTTCGAACACCACATATCTGCAGAGAGTTCTCCCCCTTTGTGTTGGATTAAGGTTGTCTTCCCTGCAACAGCACCATATAATATTGTCATTAATGCACATGTGGCTGTGCCTTTTGGCCGTATGCAGTCCTGTATCCACTGGTCCATTTCAGCGAAAATGGTAGTTATTGTGTATTGTGGATTAGAGATAGTGGGTTTGGCTGTATCGTCCTGGTTCTGCTACTGCCTTCTCAGGGTGAAATGTAATGAATACCAACTTGATTTATTTCAGGCCCACTGAGTATACCACAGTAATTATCTCACACATGCATACACACTATGCACTTGCCTATTCTGGATAACTGTGTGCGCAGCACAACATAAATTACTGGTTGATTCATGTACACGTGTAAATTGTAATAATGGGACAGTAGCAGTTAAGATGTGCGAAGCACAGAAACACATACATTCGTATTATCAGTGGCATAAATTAATATAGTTTAGAATACGTGGTACCTGGCATTACTCAGGATTCTCCCCAGGCCTTAACCGTGTGTCGAGGGGGGGGGGTCTGACATGCCATCAAAGCAGAACCTAATTTGCGACATGCCTTAATCTCCTGAAATCTCCTGACATGCCTTAATTTCCAGCTGTGATTTTGTTTGACCATCCCAACACACTCATGGTGTGTTTTCGAATGTTAATATATGTATGTCTTTGAACTGATCCAGTTTACCTGTGTATTGGGGTGACGGGGTCCCTTATGAAACGTATTGATTGTATCCCCCCCTCCCTGGCCCCCATGTCTTCTGAAATTCCTGGGGGCGAACTCTTGTTACTACATACAAACACTTGCATCCCTACAGAGTGTTGTTGTACTCTGGCACGCGTTGCAGGTACGTAGCGCAGTGATGTGTATTGATATCCGATTGATTTTTTGAACAGATGCTGTTCCTGTTCCTGATTGAGCAACTACGAGGGTTAGAGGACCCCAAGGATCCAGCGTTCAAGCGCTACTTCTATCTACTCGAGAACCTCGCCTGGGTGAAGTCCTTCAACATCTGCATCGAACTGGAAGACAACCAGGAGATTTTCTGCAAGCTGTTCCGCCTGATGTTCGGAATCGTGAAGTAGGTTTCGTCCGCTGCGGGGTGCCACCTGTGGTTTTTATTTTGAGCGGTTCTAAATATGGATGTGGGAGAGCTAATTAGGATATGTAGTTGGAAGCAGTCGTGTTTCTTTGAGGGGTTATCATTTCTTTTCACTTGAACGATGATTTCCTAAATAGGATAAAATGAAAGCTTTGTTATTTGAAATGTCATATAATAATATAAATATATAATATAATATATAATAATAATATAATATAGTATATATATATATATATATGTTTTAGCTCACAGTTTTTCTCACGGTTGTCGTTCCATGTTTGTAGCGAGCTGCATTCGGCCAAAGTGAAGAACTTTATGTTGGACATGATGACCCCTGTCGTGACAGAGTCGGATGCTGTCTCCCAGGAGCTGCTGGACACCATACTGATCAACGCCTGTGAACCTAGAAAGGTAGCCACTGAAGCAGCTTAATCCACATACGATGTCTAATAAATTTGGAAGGTCTGATAAATTGTAAACACATGTGCTACTGCTGCTGAACAATAAATTAGGAGTGTACGAAAACATAAAAAAATTTTTTTTTTATTACCTGGGATGATCTTGAATGTTGTCGTTTTTTGCAGACACATAGTAAGTATTCGTATGAGTTGGCGAGAGATCTTCTGAAGCGAACGTCGAATGCCATCGAGCCGTACATACAAGCTGTAAGTACTTCCTTGAAACTTTTGAGACCGGTGGTGAAACTCGTCAGACTTGTGATGAAACTTCTGTAACATGTGATGAGACTTCTGCTGAATTTTGTGAGACTTGTGATGAAAGTAGGGGAAATCTGTGCTGAAACTTTTCAAACATGGTTAAACTTGCGAAACCTGTGCTGAAACTTTTGAAATGGGATAAAACTTGCAAAACTTGCACCGAAACCTTTTTGAAACGTGGTGAAGCTAGTTCTGAAATGTACTGGCCCGAGTATGCGTTGTCTTGGTCTATGATGATGGTGACGACGAGTGTTGACGTTTGTTGCTAACAGTTCTTCAACAACACGCTGATGATGAACAAGGGCGCGGAGAGCGAGGTCGGCAAGTACGTTTACGATCTCATCTACGAACTGAACATCATCGTACCGTCCGTACTCATCTCCGTTCTGCCCCAGCTCGAATTCAAACTCAAGGTGAGAGGATACGTCTGGTCAGCGGTTGGGTGTAAGCGGCTGATAATTAATTTAGCGTAGCATTTGTAATGATTCGCCGAGTCTTGTGATTCGAGCAGGGACCCTCGGGCTCGGTTTTGTTAATGGGGGGTGTACGTACGTGAATGTTAGGCACGATTGACATGCGTAGAATTCGTAGTAATTCAGTGCATTCACGATAAGTTGGTGTTCTGTTACGTGCGTATGAGCGTGTTGGTTAGCATTGCACGTGCTATACCTATCCTGTGCAGTCGGTAAGTGTCGCACGAACCTCGCCTGTGCTCTGTGTGCATGCACTGTCGCGATGTTGAAACACACGCGTTAACTTCTCTGCAGAGCAACGAGGATGGGGAGCGAATTCAGGTGACTCGTCTGCTCGCGCGTATGTTTTCGGATAAGGATTCCGACCTGGCACTCACACACCCGATCCTATGGACTAGTTTCATCGGCAGGTAAGTACCTATCCAATTTCCCACGTTCGAGCAGTGTATATGAGTCGAATGATACCTGAGTAGGGGATTAAATCTTAAGCGAATTGCCTGTCGTACTACTTTGTATAGCACTTCCGATCGTTTATCAAAGCATGCTGTGTTTTAATATTTGGTCATCCTCGATATAGATTTCTCAAAACTGCTTACTCTACTAACATTTCTATGTTATTGTATTGCATGGTACTACTACTATGAGTAAGAATAAAGTAACTCTTCTAGTAGGCATTGGGATAGTTTTGTTGTGTAACCCTTCTGCAGGAAGGAATAGCAGTATGTGCTACTTTGCCGCAGGTTCAACGATGTCAACGTGACAGTGAGGACTAGATGCGTACAGTACGCAATGCATTTTCTCGTGAACCAACCGAAACTTGCAAAGGACGTGTCTGGTAGGTGTCCTAAGCATCGCATAACTGCCTATGTCTGTTTATTAAGTTGATGGTCTGCTCCCGCGTCATCCATATATGGCTATATATGATTGTGTTTCTTGTGTAACAAGTAATTTCCCAGAAACACACATGGTGGGGTTTTGGATTACTGTATACGCTGTATATTTTGCGGTGGTTTGAATTTCGCGAACGCGTCCCCGACCTCGAATAATTCATACCGAATAATACCGAATAATTAATAATTCACCGACCGCAAAATTAACCACTCGCGAAATTGTCTGTCAAGTCTGAATTCGCGAAAATAGCTGTACGCGAAAAATATTGCGTATACAGTAGTTTTTGTTCCCCATAGTGTGTACTGAGTTGCGCGTGATGTATATAATGCAAAAGGCGAGATTTTTTTGTAAAGTAATCGCATCGATGAGTGTACTGTAGCGTCCTCGTTTTATCGCTGCAGAGCAACTGAAGATGAGATGCCATGACCCTGAGGAGAACGTACGATATGAGGTCGTCATGGCGATTGTCTCTGCTGCCAAGAAGGAGCTTGATATTGTGCTGAGAAACGAGGAGATACTAGACTATGTCAAGGAGAGGACTCTCGATAAGAAGGTGCGTGCTTGTGTGCGTGCGTGCCTGTAAGCGTGCGTGCGTGCATGCGTACCTGTGTGCGTGCGTGCGTGTGTGTTGGTGTGTGTGTGGGGGGCGGGGGGAGGTATTATGGGTTTGTGCATACATGTGCATATATATGCACCTTTGAGTGTGTGTCTGTGTATGTTTGTCCATTTGTTTGTATGTGCGTACGTGCATGATTTCTATCCATCTTCATCTCTTCATCAACCTCTTGGTGATCCTCCCCTTGTGTATTCTTATCTATTTCCATCTGTGAGTCTTCCCCTATCTGCGTCTCTACCAGCAGTAATAACCGAATCGATGCTAAAGAACCACTGTGTCTCTTCAGCGAACCTACGATCTGTTCATATCTCTGTTTCTGCCATCCGACCGTGACCGACTTTGCCCAGATCCTGTCAGTGTCGACGCGTTGTCTGAAGTGTGCGTGTGACGATTGGACTCACGCGGTTCGTTCGTGTTATCAGTTCAAGATCAGGAGAGAAGCGTTGATGGGACTGGCTCAGGTCTACAAGAAGATCATGGTGTTTCCCTCCATCAGCGCGAACGACACGGAGCGATTCGCGTGGATCCGTAACAAGGTCATGCACGTGTACTACCAACAGAACCTGGAAGACAGGTACGCCATCTGGTAGATGTGTTCGCGAACCATCATCACCCACATCACCGTCGTCACCCCTGTCACCGTCGTCATAGTCACCCCCGTCACCATCATCACCCACATCACCGTCGTCACCCCTGTCACTGTCGTCATAGTCACCCCCGTCACCATCATCACCCACATCACCGTCGTCACCCCTGTCACCATCACTCACATCACCGTCGTCACCCCTGTCACTGTCGTCACCTCTGTCACCGTCGTCATAGTCACCCCGTCACCATCATCACCCACATCACCGTCGTCACC